CAAGTGAATACTGGATGACTCGCTGTCGGGAGATATCAGTGTTTCCATCAATTGCTTCTTCAGGCGACTAATAGGCGAATCCAATGGCAGTAAATCGACGGATGAATCGGCGCCAGAGGTTTGGATGAGAGGGGGAGTGGAAGTCAAGGATTGGTTCAACTCAGACACCACTGTCGGTGAACTCATTGTCACCTAAAATAACATTTGTGGTTAGATTTAGTGATAACTCTTTTTGATTATCAATTAATTAGTGAAACCTTTGAGTTGTCGGCGCTGGACAATAGGTCATCCATGTCTGTTGTGGTCGACGATATTATATCAGAGCCATCGTTGGCGACCGCCACGTGACTCGACTCGGAGGTCGACTTCTTCGGCGAGATCTCAGATAACTCTTTGTTATTATCATCTGAACGATTGGTACCGAAGTCATCGGCGAAGACATCGTTATTGTTGTCACCGAATCCGGGCGGAGGAGATGCGATCGGAATCAAACCTAACGGTTCGGCCGCTAAATCAGCTTTTGCTGAGTGTCGGCGCACTAGTCGTCCGTCTAATATGTTATCTAAAAATATATTAAAAATTGATGAGTGAGTGAGTGAGTGAGTGTGTGTGTGTGTGTGTGTGTGTGTGAGAGAGAGAGAGAGAGAGAGAATGGTAGCAAACCTTCGTTGAGGACGTCTTGCTTCCTCTGAGGCATAAACACCTCGTCATTAGAATAGGACTTAACGCCTGAATTCAGTGGCTTTAGGTATGTCTGATAGAGGAAAGGCTGATCGTCGTCCACATGATTATCACAATAAGAGTCACTATTATAAGGTCTATGCCTGCGATCGGACTGTCGGTGACCTGCCAACACATCCCTGTCTACACAGACAGCCATTATCTCGTCGTTAAACTCCAGACTATTAGTCGTATCGATAGTAATGCAGTCGTGAACTGACCGCGACTTCCGCGGCGGCAGTGCTGACATCGACTGACCCTCGCTATCGCACCAACTGCTGGTCTGTCTGAGGATCAGCCTCTGGTGATACTCGCACAGAGAGATGGGCGAAGTGGTGGGCACTCGGAGGTCGAAACTACGGCGCTGTACGATAGTCTGGTTGGCAGCGCGGGGCGAGAGTGTGAGATAGGCCGGTATGGATCGGGCGGAACGGGACTTGACGAGTGTCTGGGCCTCAGTCTGAGTGGCCTGGGTCTTCATGATCACGCGTCGCAATATACGACACGGCGTGGATAGGGATGGCGTGTATGACAGGGACGGAGACACCGATTGGTGCACTGGTTTCACATTGTGGTCACCGGTGGCGGTGAGGGTTGTGGCCGACGAGGAAGTGGTGGCGATGTTGTGTTGACTCGATTTGCTTCCTGAAGAGTGACCACAAATTTATGCGTTAATTATGATATCGATAATAGATTTGCGTTTAATTAATGGATAGTTTTGGTGACAAAAACTGAGAACTAATTAATATTTAGGCGTTTCTTTTGGTTAATTAATTCACGACTTAATTGACAATACATTGCATTTCGGGGATTAGTGTACGAAATGCGCGGATCTTATTGAAAGCCATTTGATGAGCAAAATGTATGGAAAAAATGTTAAGAAAATACAAAATTATATGAAAACGAGTGAAAGAATACACAGAAAGAGAGACAGAGTTTGGGATAAAAATCGATAAACATATACACGGAATAGCTGTGCAATCAATACACTCACGATTAGTGCGGAGAGGGATAGGGATGGAGAGAGTGTGTGAGTGAGTGAGAGGGAGGTTGAGGAGAGACTGCGAGAGACTGACTGATAAAATACTGTTTTAAGCATCAAATCAGAGACAAATGATAAGAAAACACAAATTTGTGCCCAAATATTATTCCCAGTGATCTATAAATATATGGAACGGTATGTTTGGCAACGATATAAGATAGTTGGAAAGTAGTGGTGAATTAAATGGCAAATCACACAAACAAATGAAATTGAAAACCAAAATCAATATTAGGATTGACTTTAACTTTACTATTAGAGTCTAATGTCATGACATGTCGTGTCGTCCAAACGTTTCACATAAAATTGAATGAATGAAAGGAGAGAGAGAGAGAGAGACAGAGAGAGAGAGAGAGAGAGAAAGAGAGAGACTGCGAAGGGCTAACCTAAGAGCCGTTCCTGTGATGCAACCGGTGGTGACATATCTCTTCTGGAGGAAGACATGGATGACGTACGCGAAATGGATGGCGGACTCGCATTACGGCCGGACTGTCTGGGAATGGCAGCGCAGGTAACACTTCTTCTCACTCTATTGGTGTCCCCGGAGTCAAACGACACGTGCTTTTTGGATGATATATCGTATCCGGGGTCACCTATCCTGATGGCGGTGGACCTACTCTGGGAACTCCACATCGGTTGCTGCGGTCGATACGGACCCCCACTGTGATAGTCCATCAATTCGTCGGCGCTGTGAGAGGTGGCGGACGAGTTGTACGCCGTTTCCTATCAGTCATTGTGATAGAGTGGGAGAGAGAGAGAGAGAGAGAGAGATTTATTGTCAAAACAATTCAATTTATTTAAAAACAAACACAAAATAAAACTATACTTTACTTGCGATGCATATATCGATGACCTGGATATCGAGGATTTATTGATGTCCTGCGAACCAGAACTGTATGATTGATGTAACCTTACTTTGGATCGGCTATAGTCTGGCGGTAGGGGTTGCGAGGGAGTGGTGGTTGCAGTGGCGGCGCCGGCACTACTCGTGAAATGGTTATATTTGTGTTGATCGAGTGCTGGATAGGGCCTAACGTATTGTCTAAACCCTCCATCACTGTCCTCCTCATCCTCTCCAACATTGCCGCCAATGGTCGCAGTGTTCAAGTGTTGCAAACTATAGCGTTATCATCAGATTTATCAATATATTGTCATTAATTAATATTTATGTGATATGTATTTGTGTGAAAACTAAAAATATATGTCTAAATACATGTCTAAATACATGTCTAAATAGGATTCAATTTATAGATTAGGGTCTCATTTGTGTTCACAAAAGTAAAGTCGTTTCGCAACACAAAACGCATTGCGTTTGTCTTAGCGTTCATTAGTGCCCCAAATGACACTTCCGTGCAATACAAGCAAATATGTGATGCCTTTCCTTAATACCATTCCCTATCCAATACATGGCGTTCATTATTATCGGATAAAATAATCAATTCGTTGGCAGATTTAACACAAAACAAAAGTATTTGTCATTTACTTATTATGTCTTATTAATTAATAAATAATATTTTATCAAAACAATTGCTTAGAAATGCATATTCATTAGCATATCATATAAAATATAATCATTTAGTTAATTAATTTTGATGTTAACACATAATTACAAAAATATGTACAAAATTTATCTAAATGTCTAAAAACGAAATATTTTTTATTTTAATAATAACTTATGGAAAGTTGTATTTTGCATGAAATTAATGACCGTTTGTTTGGATCAAAATCTCTGGGAATATCTGCGGAGTTCTTGCGTTTATTAACGCACGACAGCATCAGAAACGAGCTCTTCTGGCACTGACTGTCCGGCAAATGGTTGGCCGAAAGGCAGCCGAAGAGACGGGCGGCCGACGAGTCGCGCAGATTCTGCTCCAACACATCCAACTCCTTCCTAGTGATACAGTACTGTTCCCGTATGTCTTCCCGAGAGTATATCGGGTGACCCTTTTTGTTGCGAAGCCCTCCAAACGGTATTTCCCGACGGCTTTTCACCATCTCATCGTCCGAGTCGTATGTTATCACTTCGTACGTTATGTTGGCCTGCAATGAGCACATGTATCTATTACATCCCTGTCCAGTTTCATACATATACCACTAATGGATAAGGTTAAATAATTATTTGAGTTAGATGATCAATAGAAAATATATTAGTACTAGTAAATAATAAATATTTTATAATTTAAAAATTAATAATTTAGACATTATAAAATGCTCAGGAACTACAAAATATTCCGGATATTTTTTCAATCTAGAAATAACATAAAACTAATGTATTTTTTGTATCGATAGGTAAGTATTGTCTAATCTATCAGAGTTTGCTATTAAAATAGCTGTGATTTCTTAGACAATAAGAGTGGGATATAGGGGTGGGAGGGCTGACATACCTGACAACTGGCGTCACTCACGTCCACGGAATCCGATTT